GTGGCAAAATAAAATTTTATGATTTATGAAATAAGATTGTTAGTTATAAAATGATATTCTAATATTAACCTCCCCCTATTTGAGTCTCAGATTTATTTTTCTTTTTTACTGACAATAATTTTTCCCCGAATTTTAAGTAAATAACGAGTTAAAAGGGTACTTTAAAATTTTTCTCCTTCTAACTTGTTATTTACTTAAAATTTGTGAGGGAAAGGATATTAACATTAAAAAAAAGAGATTAATCTGAGACTCAAATCAAATAAGGGGGGGGGGGGGTGGGGATATTAATAATTTACCTAAAATTGTCTTAAAAATATTATATATTTTTAGGAACACGCAAATACATACTTTACTAAATTAAATAAACGCCTCGAAGCTTGTAATAATAAAATTAAAACTGAAAAAAATAGAATCACCTACGAAACGATTAAGAAAAATTTGGAAGCTGAAATTGAAAATTTAGTTAAATCTTTTAACAAAGAATATGAAAAATTCAATGAAAATATTATTAAATATAACAGCAAGAATGTTAAAGAGATAGGTCTGCTTGAGATGAAATTAATGGTGGCCTCTATTAACGAACAAGTTAATGGGTGATTTATGGACTTTATTTTATTTATTTCTTATTTTATGTTTTTCCTGCGAAAATTTTTTTGACTTGTTTAAATGTTTTTGGTTCTTATTCGAATGCTTTGGATATATCCACACTTTTAAGAATAATTAAGCCAAAAAATTTTTAATTCCTCCCTGTCATCTCCCCATTAGTACCGTCACTATGTAAAGATACCTTTAATTTTAGTGTTGATAACTTTATAGTTTAACGGGTTTGGTTTCTACAATATTGTTACAACCGGAGGTGTCCTAGATTTAAGTAATGTTGATGTGCACAAGAATAACAGTCTATCCGGTGTTGAATTTACAATGCAGGTGAGGTTGAAAGAGCTAGAGGAGACGAAGGAGATCAGTGACCAGCCCCGCTAGTATGGTCCCCCTAGACTGACGCTTTCACTGGCTTTATACTATAACGATACCGCTACACAACAGATACATATTATCAAAAGTCGAAATTGAAAAGCCCGAATCGAATACTTCATGATGAATTTTCTTTAATTGTCAGAATTTCAGAATTGATTTTTTATTGGAAAATTATGGCTATATCTCCAATTTTTCATTTGATTAAACATTTGGTAATAAAATAAAAATTTTTGAAACTTTGGGTATAATTTTATTAAAATTTTTCTGTTAATATGCTTAGAGAGGAATTGCCACGTTCTTTTTGGCTTAACGGAGAGACTCATTAAATTTTAAATTAATATTTGATCATTTAATAAATCCAACAAAGAATAAAGTTGGGAGTTTTAAATTGATTTATTTTAAATTTTAAAATTTAATTGAAGTTCCAGACACCCTAGTCGTGGTTAAAATTTTAGAAAAATGTTCACCCAACCAATTAAAGTGCGCATCAATTTTTTTAGGTTTGGTTTAATTAAAACTATGGTTGGACACTAACGTTAATTAGCAGTTACAACCGGTTTCGATACTTTTCCTTTACACAACCGCAAACTGAGTCTTAAAAAGTTATATCAGATAAATGTGAAAAACATTAAATAACTCATCTGTTATAATTTATCGGGTTATAGCTTTTTTTAAGTAATAATAAGATTTGATCTATCCTATTAGAAAAAAGTTACAGCTTAATGTGGGCTTTCGAATGCGGTAATCCTGCAGAATCTGGGAGACACCTTAAAAACAACTTAAAAATTATTATTTTTTTCATAAAAATAATTTTTTATAGGTAATCGACCATGCTGATCACGAATATGAGCTTAGAATTTGCTTATTTCGAACCCCGGACCCGAATCCGACCAAGTCGAATTCGGGGTAAAAAATTCGAAATTAAAAATTTAGGGCTAATCTGACACGCCTATTCGAGCTGAGTCGAATGGTATCAGAATTATTCAGTTTTGACCATTTTAAACGAAGTTATTGTCAATTAAATACACGTTAGTATAGACCTGTGTAGAAAACCGGCATCATAACTTCGTTTAAAATGGTCGAAACTGAATAATTCTGATACCATTCGACTCGGAATAAAGAGACGAGTCAAAATGACGATAATATCGTAATTCCGAATTTCTACCCCGAATTCGACTTTGTCGAATTCGATTCCGGGGTTCGAAATAAACAAATTCTAAGCTCAGATTCGGACTCAGCATGGTCGATTACCTACCTAAAATAATTTTCAGAAAAAAAAATAATTTTAAAGTTGTTTTTAAGGTGTCTCCCAGATTCTGCAGGATTACCTCGAATGCTATAAAATTCATTTATATTGGATTAATCACAAAAAAGTTATAGCTGATCAAAGTTCGTCTATCACTCAGTTTGCGGTCGTATAACGGCAAAATACACTGGTTTCAGTTATACACTGCGTTCCAAAAGTATATGCACCCCTAGTTTTTTGATTTTTTATACATTTTTCTTAGTTATTTTGATTAGACTTTTTGTCTATATATTCTTCCAGATAAATGTGTATGTTTAAACAAAAAAATAAAAATTTCCCCCATCTTGTTCCATTTTTATAAACATTTATACAAATATTCACTGTTCCAAAAGTATATGCACCCCCCTCAAAAATTTTTATTTAGCAATCAAAAAAATCCAAAAAAAATTCTCCAAAGATATACATAAATATAGATAAGAAATACAAAAGAAATGAAGTTCTGATGTACTTCCATCATCGAGATCTTGAAACCCGAAAATCAACGGAAAACAGGGGGTAGACGTCTTTAAAAAATATTTTCGACCCCTTAAGGTAAAATAAAAATTTAATTTTAGGCTTATTTGAAAGCCCTTGAAATTTGCTACAAGATAGCTTTCAATCATAATCCAGAAAAAATTCATCTTCGAGAAATAATGAGTTAAGTTTATAGGTTACATTTTCGCCACTTTTTGGGGGGCGTTTGAGTGATTTTTACGACTTGAAAGTTTATCACATTTTGTCTTAAAGGTTAATTTTTTTAAGGAAATAAAATTAATGCTATCTTGTAGCAAATTTCAAGGGCTTTCAAATAAGCCTAAAATTAAATTTTTATTTTACCTTAAGGGGTCGAAAATATTTTTTAAAGACGTCTACCCCCTGTTTTCCGTTGATTTTCGGGTTTCAAGATCTCGATGATGGAAGTACATCAGAACTTCATTTCTTTTGTATTTCTTATCTATATTTATGTATATCTTTGGAGAATTTTTTTTGGATTTTTTTGATTGCTAAATAAAAATTTTTGAGGGGGGTGCATATACTTTTGGAACAGTGAATATTTGTATAAATGTTTATAAAAATGGAACAAGATGGGGGAAATTTTTATTTTTTTGTTTAAACATACACATTTATCTGGAAGAATATATAGACAAAAAGTCTAATCAAAATAACTAAGAAAAATGTATAAAAAATCAAAAAACTAGGGGTGCATATACTTTTGGAACGCAGTGTACTAATTTTAAAAACCCCTGTTTTCTGTTTGGGGTTCTAGTCAATTTTTGTAGTAATTTTAAAAAATTCACACATTTTCATTAATTTCCTCTTTACGATTCTTAAATTTCATAAAACGTTTAATTTTTGGCAAGTATTTCAAATTTACCGGTTTTAAGCCCGATCGTGTCCTTCTTTAATTAAAATCTTCATTTTTAAAAATAAATTTAAGTTCATGTTTTCGTGTCTTGTTTCGTGTCTGTCTCATCTTTCTCATATTTTCAACCTTTTATTTGGCATTTCGACAGCTGCTACACTTAAAAAGAATAAACCAAACTTGGGAAGAAGATTCAAGGCCTTTAAGGAATTTTACCTCAAAATTCAAAAATATGGAGCACAATTACGCTTTACAAGAACCACTCAACCCTCCTTGCAATAACGACACAAAAGTGTTTATTTTGGTGCTCTCTAGACGAGAATCATATATTAACAGAGAAGCTATTAGACTATCATGGCTTAAAGATGCGGTAAATTTAAGTTTATTTTTATGAAATATTTTGAAAACGTATGCGATGTCCCTCGTTCCCTCAATATGCACTTTCATTTTTCAATCTTCAGGGCTAAAATAACTATGTTTTTTTTCAATTATCATCTATTATTAAGACAAAAAATTTCCTAAACTTTGTTTCAGGAATAAACATATAATTATTTTCGTATTTTTGTAAGTCAAACGTTGACGTATGGCTAAATTTAATTGAAAATTTCCATAAACTTTTTACACACAATTTTTAGCCTAATGGAACCGTTCTACGTTTTTTCTTGGCTGATCAGAATATTAATAAGGTATGTCAATGACATTTAAGCTTTAAAAATTCTATCCTAGAATCATCGTGGAGACTTTCAAATTGATCCTGATAAGGTGGCTCCATTCAAATTGAGCAAGTTCGTGCATGAAGAGCACAAGCATTATGACGATACCGTGTTTTTAAAGGGAATACCGGATACTTATGCAAACCTACATTATATGGTAAAAATTTGAAGATACCTCATGTTTCCGAGCCCTTGTGCCTCACAAGATTTTAGTATAAAATAATGACGTATAGCTATTACAATAATCATAAGGAGGAGAAAGATCCAGCTGGCTAACGGGTATCCTTAGAAACTCCCAAACTTATTGGCCAATCAAAATAAAAGCCTAAACAATGCTTCGAAATTTACAGGTTCATGCAGCCTTTCAATGGCAACAAACATTCTGCCCTCAGGCGAGATATGTGATGAAAACAGACGATGATACTGTCGTACATCTAGAACGTCTATTTTTTTGGATTAAGATTAAATTTGATCTTGAATTGGATGAAAAGAACCCTGCCTCATGCTTTGGAAATGCTTTGATCAACACAGCACCTATAAGGGAAAAATCTCACAAATGGTATTTAACTAATAATTTAAGGAAGATAAAGATCCAGCTGGCTAGCATTTAAAACGCTCACTAGGCGAGAGTTTAAGATCTTATAAAAGAGAAGGTGAAAGCAGCGTCCCGGTAGCTCAGTCGGTAGAGCACTTGTGCTTGGTGAGCGAAAGCGCCTAGCAATAACTGCCAAAAGGTCGCAGGATCGAAGCCTCCCGGGATTAAATTTTTATCTCTCTCTTATTATATATGTAAAAAGTTTCCTCTTGAGACTATACTTTCTCCAATAATAGTGACATGCGTTAGCCCTCATTATACTATAACTAGTTCCATAGGTTGACACCATAATTCCAACTCCAAACTCCTAATAAATTTTTGCTAGAAGTTGTCTAACATCCAAAAATATAATAAAAAATGTTAATCAAAATAATGTGAATACCACAACTTTAACACTAATAAGCGAATTTAATAAACAAAATCATACATAGCATCTAGTGGAAATTCCTTCATGTTTTTACTCCACCCCCCACTAATATCCCAATGTGTAAGAGATAGCGAAGCTCGCAATAACTGTCGCAGGATCGAACCCTCCCGGGATTAAACTTTTACCTCTCTCTTATATAATTTTTATGGATGTGCTAATAATTCAAAGCCTTTTAAAAATGTGACAGGTTTCCATAGGCTTTATCTGAATAAAAAAATCGAAAAAAGTACATACAATTTTTCAGGTATGTTCCAGAGGAAGTATATCCACACAAAAAATACCCAAATTATGTAAATGGATGTACTTATATGTGTTCTGCATTTGCAATAAAAAGAATTTTGGAAACCTGTCCAAGAGTTAATGCCGTTAATATGGAGGATGTTCTTTATACTGGTATTGTTGCGCAAGAGGCGAATGTTAGTCGTGTAGATGAACCTTGGCACTTTTGGGGTGGGGGCGCTGTAAGTTTAATTTCAAAATTTTGACTAGAAAAACTCGAAATTTTTTTTGATTTCTAAGTTTGATAAACAAACATATTGTGCGGACGGTTTTCCCTATACATTTGCTGTATATGACCATATTTACTCAATCGAGCTTTTTGGTGATTTATATGCTAATCTTAAGGATATGAAGTGTAAATGGAATTTGTGATAATAATTAATTCAATATTTAATATTATAAAATATTTAAAAGTTAAAATAAAAATTTAATATGGTGCAATTTGTCCGAACTATCTATTAAGAATTATTTTCATGAAGAATTTAAAATCAAAAAATTTGAGATCCCGGCTCTAGTTTAAAACATGCGTCCCAAGAGCTTTTATGCGTCCCAAAAATAGTATAGGCGTCCCATCAGATGTTTTATGGAACATCTATTTTTACTATTCTTGGGAACATATACTCTGATAGGACGCATAAAATCTAATGCAAAGCATAAACGCTCATGGAACGCATGTCCTAAACTAGAGCCGAGATTTCTTTAAACTGATAGTCTAATGAATATTAAATTGATATGCTTAAAATTAGAGATGCTTCCAAGATTAGTTTAGTAAAAATTAAATTTATAAGATTGTTTGTAAGGTTCTAGTAATCAAATATAAATGCTTCATAAAACCCCCGAATTCTTCAAGTTTTTAGTTACAGCAGTATCATAGGCAGCATTGAAGACAACCTCTGCGAATATTTTAAAATTAATGAAAATTTAGAATTTTAATGGTTGATGAAGATGGCTAAGATTAAAACGCGTAGTTGGGTATACTATAAATGAGATCACAACTTATCCAAAGCTGTAAGCTTTATCAAATAAGAGTGATCAATCTCAAGTCAAGTCTGGTGACTAAAGGGTGACTATGCCTTAGGGGTTGACTAGACCTTAGCTAAATTCATACTTAGTTTGAGAGATTGAGTGCTCAATTCTCTCATTAGAATTGAGAGAAGAGGGTAACTCATTCTAATTTTTATTGAATAAGCCTATCAGATAAACGAATATGATAGCAAAAAGCAAACAAAACTAAAAAATATTTAATATGAGCTAACAAAAATTGATTAAATATGTATAATATTAACGATTATTATGGGTATAAGCTTTAGGAGGTGAATTGATAAAATTGTATTTGAGTGTAAAAAGGTATTCAGATTCCTAATAAATCCAAAAAATTGATAAACGAGACTTCAAATAATTTCCAAATCATATAATTATGCCATTCCGTTCGACTTCATATTTTTTGTTAGAATAATGTCGCAAGTTGCGTTGAACACAAAGTCTTGAAATTAATAGAAATTTTGTGATAGAAATTTTGAAAATTATATAATCAATTTTTGTTAGACACATAAATATACATAGAGGGTTAACACGATTAAAAACAAGGAATAGTTAATAGATATCAGAAATTGGAAATAATAAAAAACATCTAACCACCACAACACGATAATAATGGGTAATTAAAAGCAAAATTTAAAAGTCTACAAAAAGTGTCAGAATTGACTTGAGTTTCAGCTTAAGCTTCTGCAAGTAGTTTCTTTTGCGACGTTTTTATTTACCGTAAACGCAGGTATAATTACAAAGTTAGGTACTTATTGTTTAAATTTATTGCGGAAGTAGTTAATATTTACGTATATTGAGGTGGTAATTATTTGAGCAAATACAGTAAGTTAAAATTTAAGCTCCGTGATAAATAGAGTTAATTATTCAAAAGTAGATTTATTATTCGAATCACTTAATCAGTACCAGAGCTGCTTCAAATTTCGATATTTTTGGATTTCTTTCGATTTTCGACAATATTTTTGTTTCTATGCAGCTCTGATCAGAAAACGCAAATTAAAATAACACATACTAAGTGAAATAAAACAAAGTAAAAGAACAGTGGACAAACAAGTATGAGGGCTTCTAACTCAAATTTATTTGTAAATTTGTTAAATCACTCACCGACATTCCTAGTGTCAGTTGCGTTAGTTGTATGCATATAAAGCGGCCTACGGTCATTTCCCTTGATCTTAAAATTTTTTTCAATTTTTAATAAATAATTTTGGTTAATTTTCAACCTTTGAAAAAAGGGATTTGACAAAATCAATTGCTACATCGAACAATTCTTCATCTGTCATTTCATCATTTAATTCTTCTGAATTTTTAAAAATTTATATTATGCATTCATTCGAAATTCACTTTTAAATTCCGGATAAAAATTCTCAAGAGGAGCATATTTCAATTTTTCGGCAAATATATCCATTTTATTCAAAAACATTATTAGAGATGACGGCCTCAAAAATTTATTTCTGTAAATTTGTTTGAACAAATCCTTTGTGTCAGTCATTTGATTCTGAAAAATAATTTAATTAGAAATTGAGAAGCTGAAGTAATCCAGGTAATAGGGCATAGGTCAACTCGGAATTTAAGCACTTTTTGTATGTAACAAGCTTAGTCTACGTACCAAGAAGAGGTGGGTCGGAACAGTCAGAGGTGTCGGAAATCGAAAAAAACGTGAGAAATCGGAAGTCGGTCTGACTATCACTAGTTAAACAACTAGAACATAGAATCTCTAAAAATTGAACAGCCTCTCTGCTTCTTGACTGTATGTTATAGAGATAGAGAAAATTAGAAATTAAAGGGAAGTTTATATATTTGTTTACAACTTATCTAATATTTCTAATTAACTAGATGACTATTATATAATTTCCCTAAAATTTGTTGACTCTGTGAACCACCGGCTGCCGTCTCCTGTTAGGAGGGGGAGAGTTGCACTCTCTCTGAGATCTCTCCCATTATGGGAGGGGGGACGGAATGCAGGGAATTTCCCGCTTCCTGCTCTCATGTATGTGAATTACGATTTAAACAAAGTATTCACTTTGTTTAAAAATGACTAGTTTACATCGTCTCCCCTAACAGTTGTATTCGGAAGGAGGGCCTGGTTTTCTCATTATGAGGGTTCGTTAATTTTTTAAATTTATTTTTCAGGTTCATCATCAACTACCGCAGAGATTATTTTCTGTGACACGCAAAACAGCGCAGGCCAAAACGTTGACACCGAAAGGTGCGACACGGAGAGGTTGTTCCCATTGTTGAAACTAGAGTTCGACAAGACTCGGCTCAAAATGACGGTCTCGGTCTCGGGTTGGCCGATACCAGTATCGTTTTGATCAACTCTACTTTTAACAGAAAGTGTCATAAACATGGATAATAACGGCTCATACAATAAATGATTTATGTTTTGTCTTTCTTTCTTATTCGAAATAAATTTTATTAATCAACATTTGCGAACATATCAGCGTCTTGATATTAAGAAAATTTTCCCGACTTCTTGACATTAATGAGATTTTAAATTTAAATAACCCACAATATTTGCATCTTCCTCCAATACATTATTGTAACATGCAAGTGAAACAATGAATAGAATAGCGGTGACACCCTCTTTAATTAAAAATTAAATTTTATATATTTAGTAAAATTTAAAAATTCCAACCAAAACAATGAATCCACTTACGACGTTCTGTCTTCTGACCGCCTACATCAATTAACCTTAATTTAAATTTTTACTCCTTAAAATATTTTTTATTTTACCTTATAGTAAACTGCCTGAAAGAGAAGATAATTTCATAAATCCCTTTAGTCGAAGCCCTAGCTCGGATTATATCATCAAGTGATGGACTGTATTCTGGGTGTATTATTCTGGAGACTTGGCTTAGAAGGCTTAAATAAAAGTATTAAATAAATACCAGGGCTAAAAGCAAAATATAAAAAGAAAATTAAATCGGACACAAAAACACTGAAGAACAAGATAAAAAGCTCTTGAATAAGGTCAGAACTAACTACGAATAAATCAGAATATAAACATAATAACAAAAAAATAAAATAAGAAATTATAAAAAAAACCAGAATCAAATAAAAAATTTAATCAAGACAAAATCAGAATATAGACAAAACAAAACCAGAACTAAATAAAAACATGTCTAGATGCTAACAGAATAAGTAAGAGACAATATCAGAATATTAACAAGAAACCAGAATTAAATAAAACGTGTTAATTAAAACAAAAACAGAATATTAACAAAACTAAATAAACTAAGAACAAATTCAACACAAATACAATTCAGAACAAATTAATAATAAAAAACCAGAATTATCGGAAAACAAGAATAAAATCAGAATAAATCCATAAAACAACACAAACAGAAAAGTAATCATACATAAATAAAATAACACATACTATGTAGTATTGTCTGGCACATAAAATTCCATAAGCCGTG